TATATCTTGATGAGCTTTACAACTTTTGTTATAAGCTCAAGAGTGATTTACTTAGTAAAAAAAAGTTTTAGATAGAAATATTGTATATTCAGGCTTATAATAAAATTTACATATAAAAAAAAAAATATTTGTTTAGGTGATTTATGATTTATTTATTAATAAATTTAAATTGTATATAAATTAGGATTATAATTTTTAATAATTTAAATCTTATTTTTGTAAAAATTTTTGTAATTTAACAAACTTTTAGTAGAAAAAATTAATAAAAATAAAGACAAAATTTTATTTTAAAAAAAATAAAAAAATAATATTTGATCTTTTAAGTAAAAAAATTTAGATATTCTATAGAATAGGTGGTTAATATAAAAAATAAATTTTACTAATGATTAGTAATTATTAATAATTTAATAGCAGAGTTGCAGAGTTTGCAAAATTTGCTTACTTATTTTATAGAATATTTTATAAAATTTTATACTATACAAGTTTATTTAAAAAATAAAAATATTATTTTAAAATAAAAAGTTTTCTATATACAATATTAAAATTTTTAATTTATCTATATAAACCTTTTTTACTAAAACAATTGGTTTTAACCTCTTAAGTAAACTTGTTTAATATATAATTTTACTTATTTGACAAACTCTTATGATCATGAATTTGTTATTTTTTTCATATATTATGAAAAATTTACATTTACTCGAATTAAAACTCAGCTGACTCCCTACCAATCATGATTATAAATTATCAGATAACACCATTATGTGGCAAATTTTCGAATAATAGTAATTTGCCTGGTTGAGCCAAATTGCAGTTATTTAAAAATTTGCCGTATAATGTATACTTATTTTATATTTTGTTAATTTATTTTTTTAAATTTTTTACTAAATAATCTTAATCTATTACTGTATTTTCGAAATGTTTAATTTCAAAATTTCAAAATCAGTTAATTATAAGTTAAAAATAATATAGGATTTAAAGTTTATAGTAAATTTGTATTAGAGATACTGGACAGATGCGATCACATAATATACGCATAAAATGCGATTAATTTTTACTAAATTTAGATCATTTATGTGGCATTATGCGACGAATTTTAAGTGAATAATATTCGCACTATACATATATATGTAATTGTTCATAATTATCACAATAGTGATTTGTTATCATATAATCGTAATTGTTGATACGTATCAATATTGAATAAAGTATTTTGAATGTTATGTAATTGTTACGATATCAATATAAGTATTTAGAATATTATAATTTTGCTTTAATTTTAACGATGGAAAAAACCAAGTTTACAGCCTTAGAATGTGTAAATTCCAATGACTATAAAGATGATTTTTACGAATCAAATAATAAAATGTTTTGCATCGCTTGCAAAACTACTGTTAATTACGCTAAAAAATCTGTAATTGATAATCATCTTAATTCGACATCACATAAAAGTAAAAAACGTCTCATAGGAGCATCCTCAAGAAATATAACAAAACAAGAAATTAATATAGCGTTAGTTAAAGCATTTGCGGAAGCTGATATCCCACTAGAAAAAGTCAATAAATTACAAACATTCTTTAAAGAATATTGTATTGAAGGTAAATTGATCTAATACACATGTTATATATATTATTAAATATTAATTTTTTTTAATTATATTATAGGTGATAAGATCGTTAGTGCAAATCAAATGCGCGAACATTATCTTCTACAAATTTTTCAAAGTGAAGTAGACGAATTAAAAAATCTTTTAATTAATCAACTTATTTCAATTACAATTGATGAGACAACTGATGCTTGTGGACGTAGTGTTGCTAATGTTTTAATTAGCTTTCGCGATCAAACTAAATTGGTTAAAACAGAATATTTAGATAACGTTAATCATTCCACAATTTCACAATTAATAATATCAACTTTAAATTTTTATGATATCTCTTTTTCTAAAGTTGTTTTATTTATTAGTGATAATGCCGTATATATGAAAAAGGCCTATTCAGACGTATTAGTTCAAGTAATGCCTCGACTTAAACACAATTGTTGTTTTGCTCACATTTTAAGTTTAGTTGGGGATTGTTAGATATATTTTGATAATTTTAAGATTCTTAAACTGTAACTTCTAATATCAAAGAAGCCTTTTTTCATTCTTCTATTTGTAAAAGAAGATGACTAAAATTCCTTTCTTCAAATCTTGTTTCATCGAATCTGTTAGATTTGTCTTCAGAATCATCTGAACTTAACTTACAATTGCCTCCATTATTTGTAAAAACTTGTTGGAATAGTTGGTTTAATTTTGTTATCTGGATGAAACCATACTTCTTATTTCTTGTTCAATTTTTTATTATGGAAAATATGCTTAACGATCCTCCAAAAGCGGTTAAAGAATTAGCCAAAATTTTTTTGAATCATGAAAATATTCTGATCATCGAATTAATCACTTTAAATGCTCAACGGTGAGAGTATACAATATAATATTATCATTATATTTATTAAATATAATTACTAATTAATTATATTAATTAGTTTAATTCAGGATTTGGAATTTTTTAAAATTCGCAATCAACCTGTAGCTCCTTATATTTTTTCGCGAATTAGTCAAACTTGTGCCATGTTACAAGCAGGTATTAAAAATCTACCGTTTAACACATTCATGTGCAACAAGATTCAAGAAGAGAATTTAAATTTAATGTTCTTTAAGTCAATTTTTTTGCAAGCTTTTCAATTATCATTTGACAAGCTTACAAAACATGTTGATAATCATTCCGCATTATCACTTTTTAATGCCGTACAATGTTTTGACCCTAAATTTATTTGGTATTCAACATCACGACAAGATATTAAACGTTATATCATGATAGAGGAATTTAAAATTTTAAGTGATGATTTACTAAATGAATGGAACATTTATTGTAAACTTGATGAAGAATTGGATGAAAACATAAACTTGGATAAATATTGGAAAGAAAAATCTGATGGTTTACCTTCTCTTTCAAAAATCGCTTTATTTTATATCTGGTTACCTGTATCCGGTGTTGATGTAGAATGGAGTTTTAGTAATTATAAAAATATTTTAAGTGATAAGCGGCATAATCTTTCACAAGATTCTTTATCGATGCTAAATTTACTTTATTTTAATAGGGCAGTTTAATTTTTTTTTTCGTTGATATTTTTTTTTCATTAATAATTTTTTTTTCATTTTTGTAATTTTCAAATTCATAATTATCACATTATGTAGTGATAAATCAAAGTTAGAACAATATAAATATGTATAAGGTTCCTTACATAAATATCGCACAATTTGAATTTATCACATCGCATCACGATGTATTTTAAATCGCATAATCTGGGGTCTCTAATTTGTATGATTTAATATATTATCTCTTAAACCGTAAGCTGATGCAGGCAAATTTGCCTGCCAAAATTTATCCAATAATCGCTCATATTTACCGCTGTTAAAGTCATGTGTTTAAATGATCTAATCACGTCATGGATGTGCTGTTTAGAATTTGTCGGATATCGAAATTTTAAATCAGAAAATGTTCTTAAATCTCATTATTGGTTTAATCCGACAAGTATAAATAACACCCGATAATAGCACGTAATTTATACATATGCGGTTTTTACAGGGGTTATTTCACCAAGCCGAAGAGAAAATAAAGACAAGGCGCTATTAAAAATGGCCAAAAGTAGTATCAGCTAAAAGCTTTATGCAATTAGTATGCCCAGTATTCATATTACTGAGGTTGACATAATGATTCACGTAAGTTGTACTAGCAAAACAATTTTGATCAAAAATTTGCAGGTAAATTTGCCTGCAAAACGGTTTAAGAGATAGTTTTTATTATAATTTATTACTCCATGTAACATATTTCTAACTGATATATAATTTAAAGTAATCTGATTGGTTAAATTTAAATATTATAAACTAGCTAATACAGTCAGAACTTCATAAATACACTCCATAAATGCACGGACTAAGTAAAAACTCCCTAAGTGCACGGCATTGTCTGATCTCAACTCATAAGAGCTATATATAAGTTTCTGCACAACTCTCTAAGCGCACTATTTTAATTTTTTTTCTTATAGTCACGATGGCATTGCATTTATGGAGTCCTGACTATATAAATAGACTGTTAGACAGTTATTAGACAGTAAGACTTTTGATTAAATTATAATTATTCACATCTCTATCCCCAACATACGATACACTCTGTATCCGGAGGTACTATACTAAGTGACTTTTCATATTAAAAAATCTTTTTATATGGAAAATACCTCCGGGTGTTTTAAAAATTTTTAATGGGGATATTTTGGACAGAGAAGATACATTATAAATAGGGATACTTTGGATCGCATTATAAATATTATAAATAGGGATACTTTGCATAGCGATAGGAATCGCGTTATCGTTATACGTATAATAACGTATAATAATTCAGAAATTTCTGTAATGCAACGTTACAGCATACGTCAAATGGTTTATGTCATTAAGTTACGCCCAATTTATGTTATGACACTATACCAATATGAAATAGAAATGGTAGTATTTAATCACATGGGATCATATTGTTAGCCAATTCTGTTATACAGATTCATTTAGATTTCATTCTAACCAACAAATGCCTCCGAATTGGCTAATTTGGTATAGAGTACAAGATTCTTCGTATACGCTTAAAGTTCATTAATGCTATTTTTCTGCCATCTTATAGGTTAAGAGATAAATTTCTAAGTAGCATGGCGGAAGTTTATTTTTATTCGCCATTACACAAACTCTTTATATTATTACGTACAATAAAATTTTGATTCAAAAATAGAAAATCATCATTAAAACTATCTAAATTTGTTATACATATTATTATAAACATACTTATTAGCATTTAAGATTGAAGATTGTTGGTATGTAATAAAAAAATTATTATATTCTACTAAATCTCCATTGGTTAAACTGAATAACTAATAGAAAAACAATAGCTCTTTGAGTTAAATTATTATTGGTGGGTGAGAGATAAAATGATAAAAATTATCAAAACCATAAAGAGTATTGGATGTAACGGTAATGGCGGAGAGAAGATCTGATACAACGATAAAATTATTAATATTAGCTAATCAATATTATTCAGCAAAATAATACAGAAATGATGGATTTATTTTTCGTGACGCCCCTGTAGTAAAATTCCACAAGCAACGCCGATTTCATAGTTAAAATTTGGTACATTATGCTTGATCTAGAGATTTAATTGGATGTACTCATGTGATTTGATACGATAAAAAAAGAGACTTTACTAAATTCTAACGTTAAAATCACCGATACTGCGTCGGTATGTACGTAGCGATAGGTAAATGCTTTTCAAACATTCCAGATTAGGGATGTT